AATTTCAATCAGGCCATTATGCTCGATTAGTTGGGCGCAATAGCAAGGGCAGGGCAGTCTGGCGCTTGTGCATGGTTGACGAGAGAAGCGCGAGGGAGAGGATGATAGAAACTGTACCATTCCTCCGCCTGTTCGAGGCTTCGTATTCCCCAGAATTTTGACGATTTCTTCCAATATTGACGCAGCCGTTGGTGGATGTGGTGCTTCATTGAAAAATCATGCCTTGGTTATGGTATTTCAGTCAATTAATTTGTGCGTCTGCAACACGGATGGGATCCTGTCCTTTTGCCCTTGAGCCAAGCGGCATATATTGCAAGGGCTAGGGGAAGATCTTTAGTTGAACAAGAACAATATAAAAAACCCTGTCCTGCGTCAGACTGTCACCCTCTTCGACTCTTTTGCCAACAAAGCAGCTTGACTTCATCTTGACGGCTCTGGAACTTCCATCCTCTGATTAGTTCATCTTGATTCGCTGCATATATGAACAGCAAGCATTTCCGGACGTAAGATGCTTCTAGAGACCATGTTACATTCGAGTATGCCGAGCACCTTGGGCTTAGCTGCCATTTTTATTTTATTACCGACGTTATTTTTTCAATTAACTTTGCCCAAGAAGTCCCGCTTGCCGTTGATTAATGGGAAAAAATTATCCGAATTTTCGTATACCAACTCTGGGAAGCGATTTTTGAAAAATGCACGCATCTTGATTGATGAGGGCCTTGGTAAGGTAGGTTTGTCCGTCCATTAGGGGATGTGATTGCGCGGAGATACGGAATGAGAACGTTTGCTAAAACTTCACCAAATTTATCTAGGCCAAGGCTTTTCGCCTTTTGACAGACAATGGGCCAAAGACCGTGCTTTCTGCTGATTATGCCGATGAGATTCGCAGCCACCCTTTGCTGAACTTTGGGGCCGCTATTGCGAAGGAATTTCACGCCGATATCAAAGGCTTGACACATTCAAGCAAGGAACTAGAGCAGACGAGATTTTCCAGGATGCCGTCAGGATGCAGTTAACACATCACCTCGGTGAGTGGCTTGTCTGCAACCACGTTCCACTTCTCCGATTTTTGAGCTTGTTGAAAGAGTTGCTGATTGGTTAGGAAATGTTATCGAACCTATTTCCACCGAGGCTTCTATCATCCTTGAAAGAGATTGGACAAATAATCATGGTTGGTAGTATCGTGCTTGTCCCTTGAGAAATCAAAATCCCCAACTAACCGACCGGACTCAGGCTGGCATGATATTGTCCTTAAAAAAAGTGCCCTTAAAATCGTTGCCCAGCTATCGTCCAGAGTCTTCCTTGGCGAAAAGTTATGCCGCAACCCAGACTGGCTTCGAATAACCATTAGTTACACTGTTAATTCATATATCGCTGCTCAGGCTCTCCGCCTATGGCCGGAGGTAATACGTCCGCTAGTAGCCAGCTTCCTACCGTCCTGTCGTAAACTCCGACAGGAGATTGAGGAGGCAAGGGCTATTATAAACCCAGTGCTTGAGGAAAGACGACAGGCAAAAGAGGCAGCTATCCGGGTCGGTAAAAACGCCAGAGCGTTATCTCGATGCCATGCAGTGGTTGGAAGAATCTGCTAGGGGTCGCTATTATGACCCTGTTGTAGCACAATTATCATTTTCCCACGCCGCTATTCATACGACATCAGATCGAAT